TCTGAAATGCACGTTATGCGATGCATTAATATGTATTACTTAATAAATATGTAGCACACACACACCAGAGTGTTCGCATGGGGAAGGAACGTGCGAGTATATAATGTAATAGCCGCGTTGCAGTATGGTTTGAATTTAATTTCCTGTGACTACGTACACATTGCGCTGAAGATGACCACAAAAAATGGTCGAAACGTTCGCGAATCTTTTATGTATTGACGATTAAGAAATATATACAACTTGCGCCCTATTTACCGCGCCGGCTCATATTGCCTCTTTCCTTTTAATTGATTTAATCACGAGAGCCTTATAAGTTTAATTTAATTAATAAATATGCACAAATATAAGATGGCAATATTTTGCAAAAGTAACGATCCATGCTTCTGTTCGCATTATACATATTATGTACAAGTGCTTATATAAAAATGAGATTTATAATAAATATATAATAAATTATATAGCTACTGACATTCATTAATGTGCAAAAAAAAAACAAGATAGAATAAGTTTTGTTATAAAATAATAATCGAGACGTAAGAGTGTGATGATTACTGGCTACTTCTTTACGCAAAAAATTTTTAATACGCCGATAATTGACTATTCTGTTCTTGTCCAAGCGCGGCGGCTGTGCAATGCGCAAGGGAGATGGCCGCGCTTTGTCAATCTCCGCCGACGGACAACACGCGACTCTGACGCGATTAGACCAGACGCGATTTCAAAAGAAAAAAAAGGTTCGAAGTACTCCGCGATATCCGATCGTCGGGACAAGACGCGAGCACCGATCTCGTCCGGAGCGCGATCCCCGAAATCCTGGCGGGCTCCTCGATTCCCTTCAAACAAGAACAGATATAATAGCTGACCTATGAAGAATAATAAAGCATTTGGTACACGCTCGCTCGCATTAATTTTTTATTTGAGTTTCTTTTTTTTAAGCTTTTCGCTCTTTCCTCTATATATAATTCAATTATTGCATGATTTTTAAGAATTTTCCTAGCAATACGCATCTTTATTTGCATTATAATATTCAAAATTCGCCGTTGATTTTCTGGATTTAACTTTTTTACGTCATAAGAGATGAAAGACAGAAAAGCACGAGATAGTCTATCATGACGGTGTAATCAAGCAGTTATTAATTTTTTTTTATACGGAACAAGGATGACGGGACCGACACGGTCGATTATTTTCCTTTGAAATAAAGGGAAGGATTATACGTCGTGTTTTTTACTATAAAAGCGCGACGCATGCGTTCAAGCGAAGTTATAATTTGCCTGTAAGTCGCCGATGTATGAGAATAGTTGCGATAATTAAATGCAGCACTCAATACACAGCAGATTAAATTCATAAGACTGAAAAATAAAATTATTAGTTCTATTCGCTTTACTTGCGGGACTTTGTGAAAAACATTACGCAAATAGCGGGCCACCTACAAAGGCTCTGTGTACCCGGCTTTGCCGGTAAACGCGGGTAAATGCATACAGATTGCAAACTTTCGCTGTTCTCCGCGGATACGGTTAGATCCTCAATATGCATGATCTCCGGCGCTTGATGTGAAAAAAGTTGACGGATTGGTGAAAAATGGAAGGTCAAATATCCCACGCGAGGGAAATATGCTGGGAATATGAAAAAGCGCATTTTGTGAGCAACTCTAGAGAGCCCGCGTGGAAACTGAGTTGGAAATATCAAACTGCGTTCAATGCGACCTATTTGTGCTTTAAAAAAACGCACGTAATTTTTCGTGCATTATCTTTAAAATGAGACAGTAAAATCCAATTTTACTGTCATACATACGACAATGTTTATCGCTGCATGAAATTTTAGTAGTATCTTTCTTAAATATTTGGAATCGATATTGTCTTAATGGAACTTTTTACGAGAGATAATGACAACAGGTTACCTTTACACGCTTATCTTATCTTTACCATTCGTTCCTGTCGTTCATATAAATACAATAAATACTCACAATTAGTTCCAACGATTATCTTACGATTATCTTACTTGCCTACATGTGTTCGGAAATGCACTGGTAGTACTGGAAAATTTACGGTATATGTGACGTGAACTATAGATTTTCAGTGCTGTTAGTACATTTCGGAGCGCGTCCTGACTCTGTCTAACTTTTAAAGTGATTGTATATATATATATATATAAAACATATGTAGGACATAAATTGCTACATTTAGATTAATATTTATCGTGTACTTCATTGTTACTTTTCTAAAAATCTGATTAAAAATGCGAGTTAAATTTGTTTCCAAGCTTTCCTCCGCTCCTCTCTTCTAGAAGTATCATAACTTGATACGCAGAGTTCGCTCTGGGAAATATTGATACGCAAATACGCGGTGCAGGTTAGACAATATTTCGTTTGCCGACTCTCCGACGTATTTCTAGAGGAAACAACTTTTTCAAAGGTTTACCAGATAACAGTTTTCAAAGCGGTGGAACAATTGCAATATATTTAACCCGACTGAATTTGTCGACACTTAATATCTTTAAAGGAAAAAATAATGCTCTTTAAAACACTGTTTTTTTCCACGTTAGAAAATTCTAAACGGCGACGAACATTAAGCACATAATGTTTTTGCTGTAACCAGTTACATCTTCTCTAATATTATATGCAGAAATAATTGATAATAGTTTTAAAAATTGTTAACTTTAGTTAAAAATTTTGCACATCATCTTAATTTTGGTTTTAAGTTTGCTTTTCAGAGAAAATTGGTATTTAGTGATATAATATTTAATAAAATATTAAAAGAGCATGTTAAATTAGATAAATAAAAATATGTTCTTTAATCAGTATCTTTCTGAAAATCCTTCTTACGAAAACTAACAGAAGGGATGGAAATGACATCCTGAGAGTAGTCAAGTACGTAAAAACTGAAGCACCAAGTATGTTTGTCCGCGAGAATTAATCGTATATTTTACTTCCCCCTTCAGTCCTTTTAACCTCCTTAATTCTTCAGAAAGTTTCTCAAACCTTTTCCGTACTGGGACACACGATTTTAACTATATACAGCGGGGTTTTAAAAGCGCGGTAAAAAGTTAAAAGGCGGTGGTAGTGACGCGTGAGTCCCCTTAACATTTGTAGAACACAAGTGGCGCGGAATGCGGATGTGTCAGAATGTATATCGGAAAAACGTCCTCAGCAAATTGTATAGTGGAATAGAATAGAACTGACATACGAGCACGCTAATCTAAATATATTTTCGATACAAATCCCGATCTGGATGTGCCAGCGGCTGTGTACATTTTCGAGAGCTTCTTTTTATTTTATACATATGCAATTCGAGGAAGATTACAGTGTCGAAAGTAGAATGGCAGTGACATGAGATTTTTCGTACTGCTCTTCACTTTTGTAAATTATAAAAGAAGAAGCGTAGTATAATGACAAAATATCGTAACAATATTTCAAAATTTTGCACTTTTTTTTAAATAAAAGAGGTAGAAAATTCCCTAAAAATTTTTGACGGAAATAAAAGCTTTTTTTAGGGAGAAATTTTTCATATTAAAAGACAGAATGCTACATGTGCATGTAGAGCATATAATCCCAGAATTTGCACTGCTTCTGATTCATGCGTAACTTAGTTTGTTCGTCAGCTTTAAAGTGCTCTCGTTTAAAAACTATTCGAACGTAATTTTGCCACAGGAAAAAAATTGTTTCTTCTAGCGCATGCATGGAATCGCACTATGCATTCCGCGTGTGCAAATTCTGGGATACGCTCTGTATATGTCTCGCGTGTTGTTTTCGGTAAAGTTTCGGTATATATATTTGACCGTGTTCTAAAAATATTCTATATTCTATACAACTGTTTTATAAGTTTTATAATATTAATTAGTGGTACATACGCTAAAGTCTTTGAATCATCAGGAAATTATTAATTACACAATCAAATAAAATAATAATATAAAATAAGAAATTTACTTCGTATATTCTTCTTTTTTACTAAAAAGAGATATACATATTTTTCAAAAGTAATTCTATCGGAGAAAGATATTGCTACAGTAAAAAAAAAGCGTATATAAACTTTTATTAATTCTGTTTATATCAAGTTAATAATACAAAGGTAAATAATGTATAAAAGTTGTAATGAGATGTACTAATAAAACATTAATAAAATTAATAAAAAGGTTAAAATACATCTATCCCTGAGAATAAATCTAATTAAACCATTTTATATCCTTTTCTGTTGTTTTTCTCTAAAAATTACTGAACAAATGCTTTGTATGTAGTACTTTTCTACATAATTTGAAGCGGTATATCCGCGTGAATTAATGGAAAGTAACAAAATTAATTAATGAAAAATTTCAAACACGATGCTGTTATAAATATGTTATTAACTCGCGCACTTAATAATTCACTGACAACGCAACAGATTCAGTGTGCGTGTACACTAATGTGTGCACTAATTGACATTTGCTATAATAGGAATGTGAAATATATATATATATATATATATTTCATGCAAATATATACATATATATTGCATGCAAGGATTGCTGCGTTTCGACGGCGTTAATATTGAAGTTAGTATTTTCTAATATATGTATATATCCTTTCCGAGACAATGGGAAAGTTGTAATTACAATAAATTTCATGGCATTCACGGAGCTCGGATTTTATTTCGTCGTCGCTGACGGTAACAGAAATTTCGCAACAAAGATTGACTATACGGTGGATAGCCTGAAGGAAACAATTTAATTAGTTTCAATCCAGAATGCGAGTGGAGCGCGGCGGGTATTTTGTTGCACTTTGACAACGCGTCTGTAAATTAACGTTCTCTCCTACGGTTATCCTATAGTTTGAATCCAGTAATCAATTACAACGACATGACATATGTGTAATTAGGTGTTTACGCGAAACTGTAATAGCGCCGAGTGTTTGACGGAGAAGCAGATTTACGCGGCTTACCGTATACTCGTAATTACGTGATGATCAATAAAGAAATACTCATGGGGGGAAGTTTATTCAAACTTTGAGATTCTACTGTGTGTTTTGTTTTAAGGCGACCCCACAACTTTTGGCAATTTAAAGCCACCGAAGGAGGTGATCGAGGCCGTTCAAGAAAGCGTCGCATCGCAATTATACAATGGATATGCGCCGAGCACCGGTAATTTGTAATAAGATTTTTAAATATCAACTTAAATCGCCTTCTATATAAATCTTGTTTACTTCACCGGAAATTTCAAAATATACAACAGAAATAACGTGAAACAAATTTGTTAATGGTCGACGTACAAATTTAATTTCGATATACTTTAATTATCGTATTACCATTGCAATTTTCGAAGCGAGTACGATAAATAATTTAAACAATACCGTAAATATAACTGTCGCAGTTATTCATTAGATTAATGTACATTATACATAATACACGACACGCTTGTCTATCTTGTATGATAAATTTTCGAATTATTAATTATAATCAGATATTTTCACTGTATCTGAAGTAACGAGAAAAATTAATTTTTATCTTGTTTTAGGTTATCAGAAGGCGAGAGAAGCCGTAGCTGAGTACAGCTCGAATGAACTCGTGAAAGTCGATCCCAAGGTAGGATGAACACGTGCTTATATCGAATGTCGCTGGTAGATCGGCCAACATGTGTCGCAAGCAATTTGGAGTCATTGACATCTACGCTTCCTTGTTACGTGTTTAAATCGAGTTTTACTTATTCACCAACAATTTTGTTATTACTTATTCAACCGGAATAGCGCGGAAAGTCAAATTTTGCGCGAGTTGTTTTAATATTAATAACAGTCGTAAATTCTTCCCAACCGCGAGAAGGAGGGCGAGTTTTATGAGAGGACGACGCCGACGTGGTCGATTGTATATTCTGAGCAGTGAACGTACAACTCTGAAGATAGTTAATTAACTTGATGTCGCGAATTTTCATGCCGTAAAAATTGCAAATGGAAAAAGAAATATGTCGACGTTGTTAATAACATAATGACATAATAATAAAATAACATAATATTAACGAACGAAGGAATTAGTCTTTTTTTTTACAAAATAATTTATAAAATTATCGAACAGTTATTAAATTACGTGGCAAAACTTGAATAGTAATAGCAAAATTAAAAGTTTGCTGCATAAAAATATTATTACTTTTCTTTAAAAACACTTTTAATCATATCTTTTCGTATTTAAATGCAATTATGCTCAGCACGTAAATATCGTATTCAGTTTATTTGTCTGTAATAAAATTCTTGCGATATATATACCATAAGTAATCTATCAGCTTTTACTTCATTTAATCATGTAGATATATTTTCATATTTTTTTCTGCCAGAAATTCCCGCTGAAATTCTTTTATCACTGCATCAAGCAAATCTGTTAAAAAAATACGAAAGTATGGAAACGTAAAAAAATATTTTTTCTACCTTAAAAATATTCCTTTTTGTTTCCATTCCACATTTAATATGACGAGAATAAAGGTAAAACACACGGAAATAAAATATTTCGTGTCTCTATATTTGCCATAGGACGTAATCCTGTGTAGTGGATGTTCTTGCGCACTCGACTTGTGCATTACGGCTTTAGCTCGAGAAGGCCAAAACATCCTAATTCCACGTCCCGGTTTTTCCATCTATCGAACGCTGGCGGAGGGCCTTGGTATTACGGTTAAAACGTACAATTTACGTGTGAGTATTTTTTTCAAAAAAGGAAATCAAAGTGATTTCTTCACGTTTTGCTGGATTTTGCTAGGTGTATGCACAACTTAAAATTCTAGCAATTATTCCCGCAATGAAAAATCATGCAAATATAGATCAAAATTTTCCTTCGAATATTTCGAGCATACATAAGATTATTTCGAGAAAAGAGCATGTCGAAGCCAAATAACCAGAGATTTTTAACCTTTTTTTTTTACAGAAACATATAAAAATGAGTTATGAATTGTTTTCTAAAACGCGGGGACTTCTTTTTAAAACATTACACTGTTCCACGCGCGTATTTCAATTAATACTAATTTCTGAAATATTAAATCGATTAATACTTCTTAATTTATTTGTTTAATATGCGTGCGTTTGTGAACGAATAGTGTAATGGGCATCAGCTTTATATTCCCGTGATAATGTGAAAAATATTAATCTATATCGCAGCGCATTTTGTAATAATCGCGCTTGTAAAAGAGAAGGTAGTTCTGTACGCGCTACCGTGTTGCATCGCCATTAATAAGAAACGTGCATAACAGCGTCTGTGCTATATTTCTTAAGTTACGCGTTATTACAAAACGCACTTCAAGCGGTACAGACGGGCTTAGTAAGCAGCTTTATATGCAAAAATATACCATTTCGTTGGTATCTTTAAATTTATTAACCACCCAGGGCGTGAATGCATTCATTTAACGAAAAACAATGAGGGTGCATAATGTCCCGTTTATTTAGTGTGCGCGAGGGTAGGATGGCCAGAATCTTTCAGCGCAGCAATGCCAATTATACACGTACTCTCTTTTAGATATATATGCCAGAAAATATAATTATTACAGTCTTCTCTCAAAATATGCAATTAAGCGAGAAAGTTTTATTCGACTTTATACATTAATGTAAAACGATAGAAAGATCAATTTGTAAATATTTTTCGCATTCTATAATTCTTAAGCAATAAATAAATTTGGAAAAGAACGACTATCAATAAGTTAATCAAAATAATATTTTGTTGCAAACATATATAGTGTTATTAAATTCTTACATTGTGTAATAGCACAGAAATATTTAGTTTACACATTTAGCGTATATAAAACATAAATTTACATTCCTGGTTTAAACATTTCTATTTTTATCTAGTCAAAATAATTTTCTCACATAATAGACAGTTTTTAGCTTGTAAAAAATATTTGATTCTTAATATTAACTAATTTTGTAACTTAACTCATGTAATTACGTTAATTTTAAATTATCCGCAAAAATTTTCCGTTTTTATTTGCAAAGGATTTATAATAGTTTACTTTAAGCCAATTGGTGCCGTCATTGCATAATGACTTTAAACGGCACGAAATCATATTTAAATCGCCCTTCGCTATTTACACGATAAATCAGTGCTTTCGCTCGGAGATTTTCAAACCGAAGTGCTAATGAGGTAGTTTCCTCTCTTTTCAGCTTCGCTCGGCGGCAAGTTTTAACGTCTCACTCTCCTCTTTGCGCGTCGTTGCGAACTATTTTATGTTCTGGAAGTAATTACAACCACAATGCAGTAGCTTTAATTGTGTATAAGGCGGAATGTGCAAGGAATTTGTACATCCCTGGCGCATTGCTCATATTATACATCAGTCATGCAATCGCATAAATACTATGTATTTGTCTATGTCTTTATGAACATTAAACTTCGTAAAATCCTTTAAATGTTCTGCTTTTATTGCTACATATACCTTTATTATTCTTTATTTTAATATTTTTCTTTTTATCATTTTTATTCAAAAATATTTTTTTAAATTATGTTACAGTTAATAATTAACATTTATTTAGAAGTTTTGAATAAAAATGTATGATGTACCAAAACTACTTCGACATTGCTTTATTTTTTTGCTGTATAATTTTATAGAAAAATGCTGACGTATAACAGATGGAAAATTATTTAAACGTTATAATGCTTTTAATTGCCAAGTAATGTTTTAATTATTGAGTAAAGAAGTTTCATTATGAGCCCATTTAATAAATTTATATTTATAAACAATTGGAAAACAATTTAGGAAACACACAACCATTACAAAAATTATATACCAATTATACTAATAATTACACCAAATATTAGGCAATTAAACATAGTTAACCCAGTGAAATCACAATTATGAAATTTAGTTAAAAATTAGGTAAATAAATCTATTTATTTGATAATACTGTAACGCACGTACGTATACGTGTTATTGTATAATTTTGCTGTTATAAAGCGTATACCCATTACAACTTTTTAATCACAAATATTTTGAGAAAGCTTATTAATTTTTCCTTACTTAAATTTTTTTTTATGATATTTTAATTCACTATTAAATATTTTTATAGCCAAACCTTCAAACTAAATTTTTTTTTTAAAGAACATTTATATGGATTTTATAAGACTTTCTGTTACAAAATATTAATATAAAAGTTTCGCTAAAAAATGTGGAAATATTTTTGCCATGTTAAAATTTTGTCCACAAAGAACCCAGAATCGTTGGAGAACTTATAATCGTAAGAGAGCGCGTGGTTTTTGAGTCACCTTGTACACAATATCACGCGGCATAGAGGGGAAGGACAGAGGAGAGATGAAGACTCGAGAGGGCTTCTCGCGAATGCATCCCATTAATATTAATCGTTTCTAGCCGGAGCTCGGCTGGGAGATCGATCTGGACGACCTGAAGGAGCAAATCGACGAGTCGACGGCGGCGATTGTTATAAACAATCCGTCGAATCCGTGCGGCTCCGTGTTCAGCCGCGACCATATACTTGACATTCTCGATATCGCCGCTCGTTACTACGTACCCATTATAGCCGATGAGATTTACGAGCACATGGTACGTGTCCGAATATTACGCTTACCTACCGCCCAAGTGACAAATCGTTTCATTTGCGGAACAAATAAACCATGCGGCGTTTTGTTTGAAAGGGGTGTGAAATTAATTCAGAACGGATATGCACGGTGTCCCGAATCCGGAAGGGGCGCGTTGCAATTCGTTACCGCGTCAAGAAGGAATATTTTTTGTTTGTAACATGTATAAAGAATATTTAGTTAATTCGATAGCGATAAAATATTTAATGTAGTAAAAAAAAGAAATGTAACTGTATAAAGAAATAAATTATATTAATTTTGCGTTTTTAACGTCATTTTTTAATTAATATTATCTTTGAGAGAATTTTATTTTTATGTAAGAATTACGTAATAAGAGATATATAAAATATATTATGTGTAAAAAAATTTATCACGTAAATTTTTATAACTTTAATCATAAAAATATTATATACAATATAATTATAATATATAAAGATAGTATATACCAAATAGGTATATTTAAAAAAATTCGATGAGACGAAGTAATGTCTGACTGTTACAATTTTGGATTATTTTGTGTCACATGCCTTTGCACGCAGGCGAAACATACGTGCCTATTATACGCAAATACATTTTTCACCTCACCGCTCTGTTTTCAGGTATTTCCAGGACGGACTTTCCACTCGTTAGCGTCTCTATCGACCGAAGTTCCTATTTTATCGTGCAGCGGACTAACTAAAAGGTATGTCGGAACGTGTAAAATGATTATAAAACTCCTGTTTTGACACTCGAACACAAGCGCAAAATTGTATGTAACATTTCACACTTTTCACGCGCGTAACGTGTGACTTTCATATATTAAACAAGACGGTTTAGCAGTTAATTTACCCCTTGAAACAAAATGTCGTGTTACTGAAAGGTTTTTTCAAGACCGAAGAATCAAAAGTCGGCGTGAAATAAAGAATGTCCGCGTTTTTAACAGCTAAAAATGCTTATCTAAAAGCATTAGAATTGTAAACAATGCTTATACGCAACGATACGTTCGGGAAAATAATAGAAAATTAGTCTTTGCAATTATTTTTAACATCATAAATGCGCGATGATAATCATTTTAAAATAATTTGGAAAATGCGGCACCGATATAATAAGTTCACCCTACATCGGGTTTCCAGTTATTTTCAGTACGTTACCTTCGATTATCTTTCATCGTGAAAAGGATGGAACGAAACTAGCGATTCGTGAAGTTGACGGAAGGAATCCTTGGGACGGAAGCACTTCGCCTGTAAAATTTTTCGCTCGATTTTTTCAAAAATAGAACGTGGGGTTGATTGAGCGTGAATAAAATCGCGTCGCGATGAAAACTGAAGGGACGGGCGTATTCTAAAGTTTCGCGATTATGCCTCCATTATTCTAACGGTATCAGATTTGAAACGCAACTTAATTTACGACCGTACGCCATACCAGTAGTTGTAAATGAGTTCTTGCAGTTTGCTGTTAAGTCTTTCATTGCGGCATGATGTATTTTACACGCCGCAGATTTCGCATAGCGCGGTGGTGGTATTTTAGTATCAACGGTAAATCGCATTTCTCATGTAAAATTCAATGATATACGTGAATATAAGGTAAAAAATATAAATCGATCGGTAGAGGTAAAACGGAAAGTCTTATAACATCCATGTATATATGTTCCTTTTAACAAAATTTTAGTTTGAAGTATTGGTTATAAAAATATTTAACATTGAATTAAAACATTATGAAAAGGAAATATTTAGTTGAGGAAAGATTAATAATAAGCCTGCCTAATGAATAAGTAAAGTTACGGGGCAGATACGTTATAACATTATTTAATAAATGTCATGTAACAATTTGCTGCCTATTTAGTACAAGAATTTCAGAACCAATTAAATCTTTCTTATAGAGCTTTCATATTGTATTATTCATCATAAAATATTATAATCTGCTTCGAAGTGAATTGCGCGGCTACATTTAGTGCTTTTTTTATTTAACAGGAATACTCAAATTGAGAAGAGAAATGAAGAAGAAGAAACAAATGCTATGCAGGCAAAATAAATATGCAAATATATTATCTTAATGCAGTGCTATCGTTGGGTACATGTATCCATAACAATTAGTACAGTTAAGAGTAATACATTAATCTACTCCTCTTTGAGTCTCTTCTTATTGTCAAAAATAAAAGAATTATCTTGGAAAATAAAAAGAGAAGCACCTTGCATCGCTTATTAAGATTGTGATGTACGACAGACACTTTGTAACCGCACGATAATTCGTACTGCATGTGCTAAGCTAAACAATGGAATTGCATGCCGCAATAAAAATTATTAAAAATTGCTTCTGCTCTTAAATTGTTCACTCATAAAATGCCCGTTTCATTTTTCCATCGCAATCAAACGATCATAAGAAGCGTGATAAAAAATACATTTCTAATCGATTTAAGAAAATAACTCATAAATAATTAGTTTTTTTTTCAATATTGAAATAGAAATTCATAGCTTTGATATTAGCTACTTTTACATATGTAGAGCTATTTTTGAATTATCGTATAATTTCATAATTTCTTTTGTACATAGAGAATCGTTACTTTACTTTAGGAGTTTTTTAAATTTAATTTAGAAGATAAAGCAAACTCTCACGTTCGGTAAAATGGCATCCGACGACAATAATCCCATTTTGATCTCTCTTTTCTTTGCAGATTTTTAGTTCCAGGCTGGCGTATGGGCTGGATAATAATCCACGATCGTCAGAACGTGCTGGAAGCCGAGGTGGGTAAACGGTCGTGGTACAATACGTGACAGCCCGAAAATAATTGCTTCTCCAGCGGTATTGTTTCCGTAACGAGGCCCGAGCGTGTCCCGGCGAGTTCGGCACCGCATACCGCGGATTGGATTAAATTTCGTTGATTAAACTTTATTCCGCTATTAAAGTTCGGTCCTTCAGCAATCGGCCTTTCGGTCGATCGTGCGCCCTTAATTCCTTGTCTTGAATTTGCGGCACATCGCCTCGAATCAACTCTAAATCTCCATCGGATGTATTTCTGCGCTTTTTAATAACTTTGCGAGAGTTGTAAAGTCGCGGTCTTAGACAAGTAATTAAAATGATATAATAGGGAAATCTATAATCAACAAGTTTTATGTACGTATTACCTTTATTAGATAAACATGCAAGAAACAACAATAGGGAAAGCTTTGTCTTAACTCTTTGTGTGTTATAATGTATTAAAGTGTATTCTACGCGATACACACAGAAAAAAATAATTAAATCAAAACTTATATACTCGTATATACGCAACAATCTATATAATTCTTCTTATAAAACTTTCAATATTTTATTTTATTAACTTCTTTTTCTTGGATGAACTATATAAATGACTTCATCCAAGCAAGTTTTTTTCGTTTAACGCAATATAATTATTTCAAGATTATAGATGTATTACGAGTATATATAGGTGAGTTTTGATTTCACTTCTTTTTTCTCGTGCAGCTTAACTAAAAATTAATTCATTGTTACTTCATAATTTTCTAATATAATTCCTAAAATACGACTAAAACATGACTAAACAATTAATTCTTTTTTTTTAAATAAAATATGAAAATACGTCATTTGTTTCTACTTTTGTCTGTATGTACTACATACATATATTCAATATTTTATCGTACATTTTTTTGGGTCACGCTTTTGAAGGAAAAGGTTGTTTATTCGATCATTTGATGATATTCTCCCACGGGCGAGTATCGGACAAGCTGGTAAATAGTCTGTCGATATGTAACACGTTTCGATATTTCAGAATTCGCGAGAAATCCAGTATCTACTATCAAGTTTTTGGAAGTAATTTTATATTGATCTCGACATGACCGAGCACCGAATTCGCTTTTGAGAATATTTATATCTGTTCGGATCACGAAAATCCCTGACGTATATAACATTTCTTGAAATTTTTTTCTTTTAGAACTTTTATAAATTTTGTAACAAATTTTATTATTTCGCTGGCGATATATTATGAAACAATTTATCTCGATTTATCTGTTACATTTATACGTACCTAAAATAAATTTTCCAAATTTACCTAAATAGCTTCGTGTCGTTTTATTTTTATTTTAGTATATATTTTATGTCTGATACTATATAAATGTCTTTTGTGTTACATGGCACATAAAAACAAGAAAAATAGAATTCTACATTTCAACAATTCAATTTCATCGATTATTGGACGTGAATTTAAATATTATAGAAATAGTACAGTATTTTTTGTTGCATTATATTTAATATTTAATTATACAATATAAAGCACGAGCTTAACAAATCCTTGATTTCTCATCCCTTAGATTCGCAAAGGTTTACATTGCTTGAGCCAGCGAATAATTGGCAGCAATACTATCGTTCAAGGTGCCTTGCCTACGATACTTCGAAAAACGCCGCAGAAGTTTTTCGACGATGTTATCTCTACTCTACACGTAAGTTTTATCGCGATTTAAAAAAATATATAAATATATAAACTCAGCGCATAATAAAATATTTATCTCAAATTTATGATGTTACAGTCGCATTCCAAATTGGCGTACAACTGCATATTAAAAATCCCAGGATTGAAACCGATAATGCCGGATGGGGCGATGTACATGATGGTAATGATTCCCATTATAATTAGCCCCGGCCACACCCTTGCATACAATTTCAAGAATCACAGCGCATTGTTTGACAGTCCGTAGCTCGCGGCGACTAAAGCCGTAAATGTTAATCGAGCATCCGTTAAATAGGTCGTACAATTAGTCGGTGCACGACCGCTATTTATACGTTAATGCAAATACCATCAGTAAGGTGGGTCCGACTGCAATTTACGAGCTATAAATTATTGAATCGATTTTCAGGTCTACATCGATCTATCGTGCTTTCCGGAATTTAATTCCGATCTGGAATTCGTGCAGCGGCTGTTAATGGAAGAATCTGTGTTTTGCCTGCCTGGCCAGGTTGGTGTTTCTGACGTTTTAAATTATTATAATAATCATTGATTAAAAATCTCCCAAGTATATCTCTCAAATCCGTGTAAAAATACACGATTTTTTTTAAATTGAATTTTACGATATATATACCGACATTTAACTCTAGCATTTATCGTTTATAAATATTGCAAAAAATTAAAGCATCATACTGCTATGAATGATGCTTTAATTTTTAAAAACATGAAATGTGCCGAATATAAATAGCAGGATATAAATCCTTTTTATTAATTAATGTGATTGCAAAGTTCGACAGATTCTGTAACAAATTACATTAAAGAGCTTATACAATTTATCCTGATGTTTTCGAATTTATATAATTTCACAAATATCAATAAATTTTTATTTTAGTTCTTTGCATTCTTTAAATTTGGAATTTAAAATATCAAACATTTGATTTACATGTTTATATTATTTGCAGATATATGTAAATTATTACCTTTAATTTTGCAATCACATTATTCATCATGTTTTCATTTTGTTTCCTGATAATTTATTCAAAGGTGAAGGTTTTTAATCTCACATTAAAGCAACAGATAATTAATTTAAAAGAAATTGCTAAAAATATAACGTGATTTTAATAATCTTCTTCTCTCTTGATTTCCCAGTGCTTTGATTATCGCTCTTACATGAGGTTGGTAATCACTGTGCCGAGTGACATGCTCGAGGAAGCGTGTCAAAGGATTCAAGAATTCTGCGAGAGACATCATTATAAAACGGCGGAGAGCAGAAACGGCTTCGTCAACGAGATTCCATATTAAGAAACGATCAAACGTATATATAGAAATTAGAACATTGATTGGCATTAACCCGCTGATTATTTTCCTCTACTTTCGGATCTCTGGATTCTTTCAAATTCAAAAAGAATTCTTCAGCCTTGGTTTTTGTTTCTGTGTATATGTATATCTTTTCGTTTATATCTTTAAGTGTATAGTTATGTATATCTATCTACTGTACTTGCTTGTAAATGCCTGTATAATTATGTATAATAAAGGTTTGATATATGTACTTTAACATACATGATTCTTTCATTTAATTCGGCAATAATAATTAATAATTGCTATATGTATCGTAATCTTATTCCGAAAGGCTGGAGCTTCGTACACTATCGCAAAACCGAAGATTTATCGTCGGATTACATTAATCCGAGCTATTTACTTCTTGTTTACTTGCAAATACTATGTCGTCAGAATAGGTATTGTAATATGTAATTATTAGCTATTTTGATAATATACAAAATGTTTTAAATGTTATTATGTGCTCTTAATGTGCACTTTTATCATGTTTTTTAAATTCTTGTTTATTTTCGTTTATCCATTTCTAGACAACGGATGTATAAGATTTTATATCTATATATTCTTTTCTCTATATAACAATGCTCATAATATACGTTTAAGATCTAAATATATCTGACATATATTTGATATAATTTTGACGGATCCATTTTACCTTAAATTAAAATTAATAATTTAAAATTCAACGATGTAGCGAAATTGCAGCGCAGCAAAAAAATTGTAATATATCGAAATTATAACTCGAAATAATGAATACTTCAAAAAGCTCTTGTTGTGTGCATTAATAAATAATAGATACATAACTCACTTTATGGCTGTCGCGGTCGTTCGAAACTTACCTGGATTTTTTCCTCGTCTCTCGTTTCTCTATTATTGCTCTTCCATGACACTCGTACAGTTCAACTGAACGTGAATAAGAATGATGTAAAAAAAAAAAAAAAAAAATACAATTGTACAAAGTTCGATACTTGCAAATAGTCGGCACTCGTAAATTAACGCAAGGTACGAATCTCGAATGTCACACAGAAAAGAGAGAAGTGTCAAATCAGCATTGATATACTTGTATATGCGAAAAAATATATAATGAAATTGAACTTAAAATTATAAGATCATATTGCGTTAAATGAAGAAAACGTGCTTGAATGAAATCATTTATACAGTTAAACGAAGTTTCATTATTAGCTCAACCAAGAAAAAAAAAGTTAAAACAAAAACCAGTTAGTATCGAACGCTCATGACAGACGGTTGCTTCTTACGAACTGGTGATGGTGAGTGGTTTCCATAAATTCACATCCAGATTTATAAATTAAAAGATCTCATCGATTACTTCACTCTAGTGTTCCTCCTTATGATCTGGCACCTAGAGAAGACCACATAGAATACCTTGTCATCCGTGAGTGGTCACCGTCATGTTAAATTAAATTGTTACAATCTACATCTCATACAGCACATTGCTGAATATGGTCCGAATAAGGACCGAAACGTACGTCTAATGCCATAGAAAAATAAATATAATTTTCGCACCGTCAACAGCGATTGGCTCTTAATTAGCCCGATTCCTTCCACGTTAAAACAAAAAGTTGAAATTCTTATAAGAAGATTATATATTTTTGTGTATATACAAGTATATCAATGTTAATTTGACACTTCTTTTTTTTCTGTGCAGAAAGGATTTTTAATAAATTAATGGATGTAACAAGCGCGATTGGCGCATCGTAAAAGTTAATTAATTATACGGATTGTAGCTAATTGTAAGAATGATAGAGTTTCGAGGAATAATGGATTAGACAAACGGAACAACTCGCGCCGCGCGAATGACAACACGTTAGCCTTGTACGTGAAACAGCGCGCCGGTTGCCGCAAAAATAAACGTAAAGGCCGTACGCGAGTCAGTCTTGTCGTACGAAATATTTAAATTACACTGAATATTCTATTTTCTTGCACTACAAATTAATGAATAATGTAGCATGCTGTCATTTGAATAACTTGATTCGGTGATCCGTACACCGCTTTGCACTCTCGATTGGAAAATAGTGCGTTTAATGTCCATTTCTACCAATATAGATTAACTTTAATCTCGGTTTAATTTACTTTTCATCTTTTTCTAGTTCTAAGAAATAAAAAAAAATAGAAGATAAGTTAAATCGAGGTTATAGTTAATCTACATTGATGGTAGAAATAAACATAAGTTGAAAAATTCGATAGAAGATACAATACTGCGTTCAAAAAATCCAAAAAGTTTTTACATAAATGATTGTCACCCAGGTCACCCTGTATGTTGTGAAGTAGTGTATACAATCTCCGGTGCTTCTTCGATTTCATTCTCGACGAATAAACCGTGCAGAATATACGAAGTGATTTTAACTTATTATCGAGGTTTCCGTGGCGTAGAATTTTCAAACCGGGTACAACAAAACTGCTTACAGAATATGGAAGTATAACTGAAAAAGTTTTTGATTACCTAGCTAGAATCAATATTGCAGAATGCTAAACAACTTCAACATGCGCGCCTTTCATGGCACGTAAGATTTCCAAGTAATAATTAATTTCCCTCCAAGTGTTTTCCAGCATTTGCGGTGTAACTGTTTCTATCGCAGCAACAATTCTTGGTCTTCAGTTCATCGTGGATTCGATCAACATCTTCCTGCGAAGTGCTCGGTCTTCCCGCTCCTTTTTGGTGCCGAACACCAGTCTCTTGAAATTGCTTTAATCAACGTAAAAATGGAGCTTTTTCATATTGAGTTTTGTAACGACGTTGCGTTGTGATGACGGACTTTGTTTTAATAAACCAAAATACACACAATGCTTTCTCTTGAACAGTCGCCATTTTTAAATATGTTATATTATCTTCCAGACATCAATGCGGCGAGCACAGCGTTATGAAATAAAATTTTTTGAGTTACACTTTCATATTCTGTAAGCAGTATTATTTCGTTGTTTCCAGTTTGAAAATTATAAGCCACGGAAACTCCAATAGTAATTTAGAATCACCCTGTATTTGCTTTGACAAAAGCTATCGCTTTAGAACTATATAGGGTAGACCGGGGACAAAAGTAACAGGGTACAGTTTATGTAACATCGTGAATATTTCTTAAACTATAAAAGGTACGTGTGTGAGACCACGAGGCGAGATCCGCTAGATGGAGCGGCATTTGTTCCTTAGTTCATTCAGTTCATTGTCGCCCCTCGCGGAACGTGCACGTGTGCAGGAGAAGAAGTTACTTTTTTCCTTCCTGAAGTAAGTTTTCTTACGTGCATAAAATCTGAAATATTTTTCTTTCTTTATGCCGAAGGTATAAGGTTTTATTTTTATATGTTTTAGTGATTATCTATGTTAATGATTTGCATAATACGATTGACTTTCATCCAGATATTTATGTAAAAAATTTACTTCGAATCATAAAATATCATTAGGGGACAATTGTAACATCAATGCCTGGGGACAGTTGTAGCATTACAATTGTCCCCGTTGCTCGGGGACAACTTCAACTTAACTAACCTAACCCCGTTTGGTTGGTCTTATTTTAGTGTTGTTTTTTACAATGTTATTTGCATTTTTCTTCGTAGAATGCCGCGAACAAGAAAACGCAAGACGCAACGGGGCACGAAAGAAGTAGATTTATACGAACAGGCGTTTGAAGAGGTTATAAAGGGTCAGTTATCCATTCGTGCGGCTGCAAAAAAGTATGACTTGTGTCATGTATCTCTGATGAGATACAAAAGGAAGAAAGATTCTACAAATGAGAAAGATCACACAGAATCCTCTGTTACCATGGGGTATAGAAGCTGCAATAAAATTTTCTCCGCGGAACAGGAAAAAATCATGGTGCAATATATTATAAAAGCTGCTGAAATATATTATGGTCTTCCACCAAAAGAAATTCGGCGACTTGCTTACGAGCTAGCCAAAAAATATGATTTGAAAAGACCTCCCCAATGGGACGAAAACTGTCAAGCCGGTGCAGATTGGTTCTCCTCTTTTATGAAGAGAAATGCTGAATTATCAATAAGATGTGCACAACCGACCAGTATTTCTAGAGCTACGAGTTTTAATGCTACAAATGTAAAATTATTTTTC